CACCCATCTACAGAGGGCTGCTCTTGAGCTCTCAACTGAGTACCTGTTTTCATGAGATGGCATTGCCCAAGGTCAGGAGAAGGGTCATTGAAAGGCTTAGATTTATAACAGTTGTCTGCACTTAGCAAGGCTGGAAATAGTGCGTTTCTTCTGGAAAGACTAGAAAATTTATCATTTATGAGTTTGTAGGTAGAGCAAAAGGAAAAATATTATTTTGGTGTTGACGAATAATTAGTTAAAATGATTCAATTTATTTTTCACTTAACAACTCTTAAAAGCAAGATCCAAAGAACTATTTCTATGTAATCTATGTCCTAGAATAAAGTTCAAGAATGTTTAAATAATATCTAAAATATCCAAAACCTATGTCGATATTTAGTATGGTATTCAGTATGAAATTATTAGGCATGCACAGTAGCAGGGAAGTTTGCCACACAATGTAGAAAAACCTGTCATAAAACTGACCAAGAATGGCCACAAATGTTAGAACTGGCGGTAAAGGACTAAAAAAAAAACAATGATAAGAAGCATTACATATGTTCAAAATGTTAAGTAGAGGAAGGTATCAGAAGAATCAGAATACATGCTATAAACACTATAACCAAGATGAGAAAGCATACATTGTACAAAAATGAAGAATGATGTAATATATAATAACAAAATGGCAAATAAAGTGGGCAAAAATGTGCCATCACAGTTAATAAAAATAGCAAATTGAACAAAGAAAAAAAAAAGATGCATTGCAATATATTATAACACACTTTGGATCATATACTTTTCCACTGACTTCATTCATTAGTAATAAATTGTGTTTCTGGTTCACATCATTGAAATTCTTCTATATATTGTTTAGGGACAGGACAATTATCTATGTAATTACAGCCTCATAATAAAGCAGTTCCCTTTGGTTGGAAAAAAAGAATACATACAATAAACAGGCAGAAAACATTTTCAAAAGGCATATGTGATAAAGGACTACTATCCAAAAATTCAGAGAAATCTTAAAACAATATGAAAACAACCAGTTTAACATTATGGGCCAAAAACCTCAACACACATCTCACCAAAGCATTCATGAAGATGGAAAACATATGGGGATATGTTACCCATCTTAGGTCATCAGTAAATGCAAATTTAAACAACAATGACATACCACTACACACTTACTAGAATAGCCAAAATCTGGAACACTGAACACATCAATGGAGACAGGAGAAAAAGCAACATGAACTCTTATTCATTGATGGTGAGGACACAAAATGATAGAGCCACTTTGGAGATAAATGGAAATTTCTTACAAAACGAATGATTCTCTTACTATATGACCCAACAATCATGATCCTTGGCATTTACCCAAAGGAAATGAAAACATCTCCACACAAATACATGCACATAGTAGCTCTATTCAAAATTGTCAGAACTTAGGCTCAACTGACTTGTCCTTTACTATGTGATTGGATAAATAAAATGTAGCACATCCAGACAATGGAATATTATTCAGTGCTAGACAGAAATGGGCTATCAAATCAAAAAAAAAAAAAAAAAAAGTAGAGACTCCTTACATGCATATTACTAAGTGAAAGAAGCCAATCTGAAAAGGATACATACTGTATGATTCCGACTATATTATGTTTTAGAAAAGGTAAAACTTGAAAAATTCTGAAAACTATTGAAGCAATATAAAGATCAGTGATTGCCAAAGGTCGGGAAAGGGATAAACAGGTAGAGCACAAAGGATTTTTAAAGTAATGAAAATACCCTGATACCATATTGGTTGGTATATTTCATTATTTATTTGTTCAAGTGCATAGATGAAAACTCCAATTATAACCAGTAAACTATGAAATTTGTAATACCATGATGTCAGTAGTAATTTTAGGCAGGGCAGTAAGACAATAGAATCAGGCTTTTGATGTATGAAAAATGAAACTCATTCTAATGTTCATATGGAAACAATTCTAAAGTTTTCAAGAAAAAAGGTGAAATAAGTTAGGGGAAAAATGGAGAACTAACAAGATTTTAAGTCTTACTATCAAGTAAATCTATAGGAATCAAAACTATGTGGTGTTCACATACAGAAGGAAAAATAGATTGACAGAACAGAATAATACAAAACACATCTACACATATATGAAGAGTTGAAGTTTGTTCGAGGTACAAAAAGTAATTTGGTAGAGAAATTATAGTGCTTCCATAAAAAGGATAGAAGAACAATTGGATACCCATATGCAAAATTATGAACTAAGGTCTGTAATTTATATCACACGCACAAATTACCTAAAAATGTATCATAGAACTAAATATAAATCTTAACTTTAATACAAAAAGAAGAGTAACATTTTTACCCAGCAACACAACACAAAAACATACATAGAATACAACCACATGAAAAAGGTTTAAATCATTAGACATGAGAAAAATGCAAAATAAAACCACTGTAGAGTGGCTAAAATTTGACTGCCCTTACCAAGTGTTGGAAGGACGTGTATGACAAAAACTTACATGGACAGTACTTGGGAAAAATGTCATTAAAATAAAACATACCTTAATACACATTCTAGCTATTCCACTCTTATTATTCAAGAGAAATTTAAATATATGTTCATCTAGATATTTATATACAAGTGTTTCTAAGAGACTTATCTTTAATATGTATGAACTAAAAACAGAGCAAATAGATCAGTGATTCCGTTGGCAGGCATGAGGGTGGATCAAGAAGAATGACTTCAATAAGGCATGAAGAAATCTTTTGGGGTGATGGATGTTATTTTGTTTTTGGTGATAGGTTCCTGGAGGTATACATATGTCAACTTTATACTTTAAATATGTAGATTTTATGTTATGTCAATTATACCTCAAAGACAGTCTAAACTTTCAAATGTCCAGGTTCTCTTGAGAAATTGGAAACTCAAGTTGCATTGCATCTACATGATTTCATGGCCATGAAAGTTGCTTATTTTCCAAGAGCTCTTGCTCTCAAATTTGCCAAGTTCTCTGTCTCTCTCCTTCCTTACCCTTATTCTGCCTTAGACAGTTACTTGATTCTCTTAGTAACTTGAATTTATGACTATAGATTGTTTGTTTTCTGTTAACAGATAAATATTGAAATAGCTTCTCCCATTAGTCTGAAGGAAACTATCCTGACCCCTTAACTCATTCTATGCTATCCTCTGTGATTTGGTCCCAAATGATTCCCCAAAGCTGTATCTTTTTTCAAAAATGTGGGGTTTTTGAGGGTTGGTTGGTTGGTTGGTTTTGCAGCAACATTGATTTGCAGTACTGTATATAACTTAGGAGAATAGGTTCATATAGCTTCAGATTTATGTTACCCTAGCACATGAACCACCAAAGCCCCCATAAACCTCCATTATTTTTCCATTGGGTCTCCTCCCCTCTTTCATTCTTTACCCTACAGTCCCCCTCTGGTAGTCTTAATTCTATAGTCAGATTTCTAGTGTTTCTTTTGATTTTTTTCCTTTTTTTTTTTTTTCAATATTCCACACCTGAGTGAAATCATCCAGTATTTGTCTTTTCCCTTTTGACTTATTTTACTCAGGATAACCCCCTCCAGTTCCCTTTGTGTTCATCTTTTTTTTCAGAGCTGAACATTATCCCAACATGTATAGGTGCCACATCTTTATACACTCATCTGGCAACCAGGTTGTTTCCATAACTTGGCTATTGTAAATAATGCTGCAATGAACAATGATCCCTTCCAAACTAGTGTGTTTGTATTCTTCAGAGAGATACCTAAGAGTGGAATTCCTAGATCACATGGCAATATATTTTTAATATTTTGAGAAACTTCTTACTATTTTTTATAGGGGTTGACCAGTTCACTAACATCATGAATCTTAATTTGATTCTTTTTGTTTTTTTGCATCCTCATCAACACTTGTTTCTGGTCTTTTTAATTTTGACCATTCTCATATGTGTGAGGTGGTAGCTCATCGTGATTTTGATTTGCATTTCCCTGATAAATGAGGATGAACATTTTTTCATATGCCTATTGGCCAACTGTTCATCTTCTTTGGAAAAGTATCTATTTAGCAACCTTGCCCATTTTTGAATGAGCTATTTGTTTTCTTTTGGTTGAGTTGTATGAGTTCTTTATCTTGAATATTTAACCCCTTGTTGGATGTATGATACACAAATATTTTCTTCTACTCAGTAGAGTGTCTTTTTGTCTTAATGATAGTCTCTTTTGCTTGTAGAATTCCATAACTATTTCTTAACATTATCCTCAGCAGTCCATAAACACATGAAACACTACATTTCTCACACAATGTTGCCTATATTACCAAGCAAACTGTATATGATTTGGTGACTTATCAAGTTAATACGATCCATGTTTAAATCATTAGCAAGAACAGAAGGAAAGGAAAAGAAATGACAGTCTTAAAGTGTTGGGATTTTCATGTCTACTAAATGGTAATTCAAAGTAATGTGTCCCCAAGAAAAATAGTGGTAGAAAGAAAAAAAAAATGATAGAAAAATAACTTCCTCCTGTTTGGTGCAAAATACAAGAGATTTAAAAATAAATGACCTCACAGAAAGTCAGAGGTTGTATAAGTTATCATTAACCACATCATTAGTAAAGATGTAAGTGCGACAGACAGGCCAGGAGATGCCTAAACTTTTCTATTATCAAACTATATATCTCTAGATATCAAAATATTGCTGAATCAAGCCTACAAATTTCTCTCTATTTAGAATAAACACAAAGTATTGATCATGCTGTTATTTTCCCCTACTGCAAAGTCACCTCAAATTTGCCACCAATTTTGTTTGAAATATTTTTTCTTCATTTGTTACCAAATGAAGAATGAGTAATAAATATTGGTAGAATGTTGAGCGAGTTTACATCATAATTTCTCTTTTTGTGATTTCTGCATAGATTTTATTAAAGATGAGGTAAGTACTGTTTGCATATTTTACATGCCTGTCTTAAAATTATTTTTAATTTTTTTAATATTGGTAATGAGTAGATATATACTCACAAATAGAACTTTTCATCCCATACTGGATTCAGGTTTCCAAAAATGGTTTTGGTTCTTCTTTTATTCTTTCCAACTTGAACTGTAACATATGGATCACTTGACCCTGTTTTGTCTTTTGCCTGTAAGCCTTGTGCAGAAACAACTGAAATAAACCAAATCAAACATTTTAATATGGAGATTTCCTCAGAAACAAATGATAATGATGAAAGAAACAGTCTCAATCACTGGGTTTGCAGATGAAATCACACTGGTTTCTTTCTCCTGAGCAACAGGACTTTATATATATATATATATATATATGTATGTGTGTGTGTATATATATATAATATATAAATATACATATAATATATAATAAAAGCATGAATACACCAAATATTAAACCCTTCCTTTGAGTTATATTTGCTTTTACTTGTAATGAACAGTAGCTATACTGCTATATACACATACATATTAGCTATATATTCACACATATTATTGTACACATGCATAGAAAATTAGGTTGCACCTATAACATGCCAGAAACAAAGAAAACAACTTCCCAACATAATTCAATGGTCTGTGATAAAATCTGTTTATATTTGTCATGAATACTGATTAACTCAACCCAGTAAATCAAAGCATCTTTATTTTACTTTGTAAATACAATATGAGAAGAGGCTTAGCAAACTAGTGTGATACATAGGTACTAGCTGTTAATGTTATAAGCAACCCCAGAAGTTCAAATTATTAGATGTCACTAACTCAAATTGTCTTGATATTGATCCAGGAGTAAGTAAAAATGTTATTTGTCTTCTCACAAAGAAAAACTGACTGAAGAGATTATTGGCTACTATTGCAATTTATCATGGCAAGCAGCAACAAAGCTAATCTGTCAACTGCAGAGTATTGTAAAACAGAACCTTCTTCCTCTGTAAGGGCTTTTGATCTGTACAACACAGAATCTGAAACTACTCAATTGTCTTGAATATGTTTTAAAATTTTGAAGTACCAGCTAGTTTAATGTCATTATTGATATTTAAAAATCTCTATTACCTGTAATCATTACTAAGTGATTTCTAAGACACAAAAAAATTAAAATGGAATACATTTTAAGATGACTTATTTTTACCTGTAATGGTTATTTTTGCTGACCACTTAGATGTCCCATCCAGTACACTCTGTTTGGCTGCCTTTGTGTACTGCACAAAATCTTCTTTAGAAATCTGAAACATTTCCTGAATCACTTCAAACACTTCAGGCCTATTTTTCTCCCTGATCTTCATTCTTTCTTTCATCGCTGTAATAATTGTCTGAGTCTTGTCTTCGGCACCATGCTTAGAACTCTTCTCTGCTGCCCCTGTAATGAAAAAAGTCATTGGTGAAAAAAGTCAATATACAACCAAGTTCTTTTTGATTATGCAAGAGAGGGACTAAAAAGGAAGAACATAACAATGAATGAATGTTTTCATTTAAATGAGTCATGGTAATTAAAAAAAAAAAAAATCAGTTGAACAAGTCACTAAGCTGAGATTCAGAACTAGCCCTTGTGTTAATGGCAAGTAAATAAACTATCATGATTCCCACTTTTCTCACTTGTATTTTTGGATTAAATTAGGGGTTGTAAAAATATTTGGTATGAGCAGCAGTCCTTCTGCCCACCTGTGCCTACAGAGGTGTTTCTTTTGCCCATCTCTGCTCCTCTGCAAGGCAGCATCCCTGCTGGGGCTTCTCTTCACTGACCTCCCTCAGCAGAGGCCGCTCTAGTCACAGCCACAGTCTTTTCTGCAGGCAGTCTTTTCTGCCTGCTTGTGCCTATTCAAGTGTCCTTTGTTCTTCTCTCCCTTTTTGTAATAATCCTGCCCTTTTGGACATAACTAAAAAAAAAAATCTGTTTGAATTTGCAGAAACATTTCAAAGCCACAAAAAACAATGAAAACAGTCAAATAAATTTAATCCATGGATAAGGAGAACAAAATCGAAGAATAGATTGGATATACATGGCAAATGGCACCCAAATTCGTGATTTCAAATACTTGCACTCATACAGAATATTATGATTATTGATGGAATTTATAATTAAATGCTTATTTTTTTTCTTGTGGAATAAATACCATTTCTATTTGTTATACAGTGCGAGTGTAAAATTCTCTACATAATCAAAGTGTTTCTGCTATTTTTAAAAAAGGCAATGACTGGGCTAGATATCCTCTAAAATAACTGAGAGAATACAAATGATTTATTTATGCATACAAGAACTGGGTACAGGTCAGAGGTGCAGGAGGTGAGAGGATTCACCAGAAACAGAGTGGGGAGCAGAAAAGGCAGATTGAGTGAAATACACTGCTGAGGGGAGCAGTGGGCAAGACAGGAGAGGTCTGCTGCGCCATATGGGCTGTTTCCTGGCTGCCCAGGGCTCGAAGTTGTGCTGCAGAGGCTGCAGATTGCTTCATAGTGCTGTGCTTAACCCCTTGCACCCCCAGGGAGGCCCTCCTAGAATATATTTTTTATGATTAGTCTCAATGTTCTGGGCATTTTTAACATGAATCCATTTGGCAATGAAGGATTATCAAAATTCTATCCTTGTGTCCCTTACTTTCTTCAACTTCTGTCAAATATTCTTGCTGCTTAGTGTGGTCTCTAAGTTGCCCAACATCATGAAACAAATAGTGGATTCTGCTTCCCATTCCCAAGATTTCTCAATGAATTTGAAGTAATTAAGCAAAAGCCTACCTACCAATGCCTATAGCAACTTCCATTGCTGATGCCAAGCATGACTGGCACAAAATTGTGTTGAAAGTGTCAAAGGCTTGTATTTTTTTCATTTTTACTTACAGTACTGTAATTATTGCCCAACTTGTATTTTTTTCTGAAATTTATATTTCTGAAAGTGGCATATTTATGCGTTACAAAATATTTATAAATTAAATGTGACCATTTCTCTTTTCAATTCCTGCCACAAAGGAGAGCCTCAATGTTTGTTGAATCTAGTTCTGTCAATGTTAAACCCAACATAAGAACTGAGCTAAGACAAAAGAGGGAAGGTTACCTAATAACTTTCCTTATAATAAATGTGTATACTATTTGACAAGAATTCAGTTATTTGAAAGTGGAAAATGCATTCATAATAATCAAGGTATAATTAGAGGAAGCTAAGAGAGGTGAATGCTCTAATGGTAAAAATAGTACATTTGTTTTTATCTTTTTTTTTTTTACCTGAAGATTTAAAACATTAAAAAAGGAATACTAAAACTTAATGAATTCCATTATGGTAATTTAAAAGGACATTCAAAATGCCTTGTTCATCAGTTAAAACATGCCCCAGAACAGCTACAGGTTTATAAATTGTGTACCCTTAAGCAATTAAGCATGTTAGTAAATTATCTATAATGACAACTATATAGTGCATAATTCTCAGGTGGTAAATTTGGCATAACCTAAACAGCTGCACCCCAATAGACATACTACACTTTGAGTATTGGAATACTCTTTAAATAGAAAGGACATTGGTGGACAGAAAAGCAGAAAATTCAAAGTGCCCCAAAAGTCATGTTTGTAAGTTATCCTAAATGCTGAAAATGTTAGAAGTATCACAGCAATGTTGACTCCTGTCAATATGTCTAAATAATTATCACTGTTGTGGCCTCCAAAGGCTCTAGAAAAGAGTGTCCAAGTCCCCAGGAGTAAAATATACTTTGGATAATTTTCCTAAATTCAGAAAGAGCCAGCTGATGACTACCCACTTAATAAATGCTCATTCAAGCAGTGAAGGTCAAATTCAAAACAAAAATGCCAAGAATTTTTTTATGTAAAGAAAGCAAATCTCTATATTGAATGACTGTCTCTTGAATTATTTAAAAAAAATTAATTAGGAACTAGCTTGGCAATTTGCTTTGTAACCCTTCACCAATGTTCTTGATGTTGTAATAGAAGATGTATTCTCATATACAGACTCCAGATAGACCCCTAAGCTTTGAAACTGACAATCAGTTAAGAACCAGTTTACAGAGACTTATCATTAAACCTTTATCTGTACCTTTGAAAAGTATGTATTTTTTAAAGTTCTACTTTCACATTTTTGATCTGAAGAAAGTAATTCAACTTAGATCTATTTAGTTCAGAGAGAAAAAATTCATAATTTTTGTCTTTGATCTACAAGTATTTCCCACTATCTACTTGTCTACTGAACCCACCTATCCATCTTATTTTCCCAGTGAAATTATTTGAATTTCCACACTTTGAGTTTACTATGTTTATTCTTTTTATCACAGAGTCATCAGAGATAAGCTTATCCTTCAAGATGTGTGGTAGAAATTCTGGTAGCTTTATTGATGTACAGTGATATGCTAACTAGAGATCAACAATAAATGAGATCAAAAGAGACAAGGTACAGTGCAGGCACTTTGTAAAGTGTCATCACACATTATCCAAATGGCATGCATCACCATTACTTTTAAAAACATTTAATTGACAGATCAGCCAATACAACTGCAAGAAAATTCAGTTTTAGAGAGAAGCAAACTTATCCTACATGGTTCTCTTCTACATGAACCAATGGACCAGCCTGTAAGTTAAAACTCTCCAGTTTTCTTTAATTTTTATTACCCCAAAACATAAGTTGAAATTCATACTTTCACCATTTTTACATGGATATTTGCAATTTTAGTGTTTCTTCATAACCATATCTATAAAGATCTGCAATATCCTCAATTGTGTCATTTTCTTCTTTTTCCCTTTTCCTTAAATAGCTGCTCTAAAAACATTTCTATTCTCTTTAAGCCACCTACTTCACCACCATCATCCTATCATCCTCCATTCTCAGTAAATGATCTTATTTCCTCCTTAATAGTAATAGACTTTCTAAACTCACTGGCCATATTTTTTCCCCTCCCTTATGGAAAAAAAAAAACAAACAAAAATCAAGCCTTATATGTAGCATTAGCAGATTTCTGCAGTGTTACTACTACAAGACACAGCTTTCTGAATATATGTCTATCCTACATGCTAGCCTTAAGGCCTATTTCCATTAAATGTGCAGTCCAAGCTTCTAGAGCACTGCCTGGTAATGATAAATAAAACGAAGTATCCCCTGGGAGGGTAGTACTAAAATAAAATTATTATTCTATTGGGATATTTAATTTGGTGCTGGATTTAATTTGATTGAGTGTTACTCTTAGAAAGCAGAATTTTGTTGGCCCATAAATCTCATGAATTTAACAGACAGAATAAAACAAGGGCAGAGATCCAAACAAAACTGAAGAATTACTTAAAAAAAATCACGTTTGGGCCTCCTTGGTGGCGCAGGGTTTAAAGTCTCAGCACTATCAAGCTATTGCTAGCTACTGCGGCATGAGTTTGATTCCCACCCAGGGAGCTCACCCATATGGCACAGCAGACCTTTCCGGTCTCACCAGCTGCTCCCCTCAGCAGTATATTTCGGTCAATCTGCCTGTTCTGCTCCCCGCTCTTTCTCTGGTGAATCCTCTCACCTCCCACACCTCTGGCCTACACCCCAGATTGTCTATGCATAAATAAAATAAACCTATTTTTTAAATCACTTTTAAATAAGACAACAGACTGCCTCTAATGCTCTGGGTACAGAATGCTCTGAGTTTTGTGTGTGAATCCTGATAAGCTGTTTGCTAACCAGTAGCATTGGGGATACTTTCTGTCTCTAAATTTTTCATTTGAAAATGTAAGGAAATATAATCTCCCTTAACAGGGAAGATTAAATTGTAAGGATTAAGTGAGATTATGCATGTAGTTTTAATAACAATAATGGAACAAGTATAGGGATTTCAGAAGGTCATAAAAGTTGAAGATAAACATTTTCAAAATCACATCAGAAAAGAATTTTAGGGTTTTGAGTTTCATAATTACTTGACCTGTGAAAAATTTTTTGAAAACTCTCCGTGGACATTGCCACAGTCAGTGTCTGTCTCTTACTAAATGCTCTGTAAATATTTGCTAGATAGGAGCCAATGAAGTGAGAATAGTTCAAAGAAACTGTAGAGAATTTTTATTATTTACATCTATAAACACTCTCCTGCATTTGAGAATGCTGAGCCCAAAGGAATGAGGTGGCTTCCAACCACAGAGAGCAAGCAGAGGGTCTGATGCTTGAGGCCCTTCAACCTCCAGGAGTCTTTAGCATGAAATTCTGTTGCTTTTCTTTTCTTTCCCAGTAAAATCATGTAGGTGGCCTGCCTTTCGTGCCTCTGTTTTTCCTTTCCCATGAAATCATGTAGGTGGGCATGTAGTTGACATTTTCTACCCTTTCCCTTTAGTTGGTTTATATCCAAGATAATCTTAACCCTCCTCTTTGAACATGCTTTCAATCTTTTCAAGGAATAGACCTGCAACTCCCCCAGTCTTCAAGTCAGCCGCCTCCTTTTTATACATAAAATCAAAGCTGCACACTCTACAAGATTTCTCACAAACAACAAAGGGTGGTGTTTAACAGAAGGGTAATTGGAGGAGCCCAGCCCTAGCACTGAATCCTCTCCCACTCCTGTAGGTGCCCATGCCTGACAGTGGGAGCATGTGGGCAGGTAGCCGTCTCTCAAGGAACTGCCACCTTCTATAAAGTGATTTCACTGTCAGTGGGCTTAGGAACAAAAAAAAAAAAAAAACCTCAACCTTTCCTCCCCCTCTGCCTGTACCACCCCCACCTTTTCTAAATGTCCCATCATTGGTAAATGCAAACTTTTAGAACAAGTGTGGAAACACATGCATAATTAAAAAGGACAAAATAAGGAATGCACTATCTGCATGTCAAAGCTACTGAATCTCAAGAGCATTGTCTAGATTCCTACTTTCTAGATTTTTTACTGTAACAGCAGAGTCAAAAAACTACATGGATTAAGGAAGCAAATTAATTGTGATATAAAGTATACACAGCTAAGAAAAGTTTTACTATGCTATAAAAAGGAAACAAGGGAGAAAAGGGAAGCATAAAGAGTTTTGTGCTTATCTCTTTCATTTACATCTATTTCTTCCCATCCTTTTCTCACATACACACACAAATTAAGAAAAAAATGAAGTGCAACATTTTTTTCTATTTATATTTTTGCTTAAATAGCTTCTAATATCCAGGAACTTGACTGACACAACTAGTGTGTTTCTGATGATCTTCCGCTAAGTACCATTGTTTTCATATATGAGAACAGTGATGCTCAGAGAGATTTTTAAAAACTCTAGGTCTTTCTCAAGCTCAGAAAGATGAGATGGATGAAAGATGAATGGGTCAATAAAATAAAGATAAATGTGATACAGATATAGACATCCACTTCTTATGTTAAGTTGAATATCTCCAAAACATTATGTAAGGCATCCTTACCCCTTTTATCCCTCTACAGCAGCCTACCTCATCTGAAAACAGTCCATTATTCTTTTTTTTTTTTTCTTTTGGAATAATGGGACCATTGTATAAAGGTAACTATTATCACTTTTATCTGAATTAACTTACCAGATTAAGATATAATCTTAATCTTTAGTTGTTTATATCCAAGACAACCAACTTACCATTATATCCTCTATAATGTTGTTGTGAAGTTAAAGCAATATATTGTGACAGGGGATGGTGGTATTGAGGGACAGCTCATGCTTGGTGGGTCAGCCACAAAGGCAGGCCATGAGAAGCCCTCACAATGGGGAGCTCTGAAAGCAAGGTCTGGGCAGTATAGACTAAAATACTGTACCATATAAGATAACAGAAAATTACTAAAAATAAAATCCAATGACTCTTCACTTATTTTCTATCTTTTTAAATAAGATACATTTAGTTGTGCATACAAGAACTGGGGTACAGATCAGAGGTGCAGTGGGTAAGATGATTCACCAGAGACAGAGTGGGGAACAGAACAGATGGGCTGACTGAAATACACTGCTGAGGGGAGCAGCTGGTGAGACAGGAGAGGTCTGTTGTGCCAGGTGAGTAGCTCCCTGGCCAGGGCAGGGATTGAACTCCTGCTGCATAGGCTGCAGATAGCTTCACAGTGCTGTGCTTAATCCCTTACACCACTGGGGAGGCCCTTCACTTATTTTCTCTTAAGGTCAACTTTGGAAATTTTTTTCTTTTCTTTTTTTTAAAGAAATTAGGAGAAATCATTGATGAAAGTTCAGAGATCTGGGTTAGAACTCAAGATATGTTATATACTTGATTCTTTTTAACAAGACATAAATTGTCTGAACTCAGTAGCCATTGGGTTTTCAAAGCTACTGTTTTCAAAGGCTTCCCTAATCATCTATGGTTCTATGGAAGGATGAGCTTTACACCACTGCATGTTATGTCTAATTGTGATACTCATGCCCTCATTGGTTGCTTAACCAACATTTATTAAGCAGCTAACTATGCTTAAATGTGTGTTAAATTATAAGGAAAATAAGACTATTGTGTTCACTGGGGAGCAGTAAAAACACAGATTCCTGCTTCTAAGTTTCCTATTTGTCACATAACAAATTTTGTATAATTGTTGTTGAAGGAGTAAAATGTGAAGCCTTCATGATATCTATTTATCTAAGTTAGAGAATAGACATTTGGGACCAGACACATTATTGATTACTTTCTTTCTAATTCTGAAAGCTCAGAGTAAAGCTCCTACCCAGTAGCTATTCAATATATACAAATAAATGTATGTCTTAAGCTATCACGGCCGCAAAATGTGGAAACAAATAAAGAGAGAGAGAATCAATATCTAGTTTGCAGAAGGGAAAATACTAGCCAGGTTATGTTAATATTATGAATTTGTGGTGGTTACTAATTAGGACATATAAGCTTAGCACAATTACAGCGGAAAACACACAAAATAAAAAGAACACATTTCACAAAAGGTGGTTTTCCTGAACTTTGGGTGAAATACTTTCTGTCCGAATGCATGTACTTGAAATTTCCAGTCAGAATTTAAAGTAAGGGAGAGCATTTTTTCAGTGGGACTACAGAAATCCTTCTTTGGAGATGCATAAGGAAGTACATACAGGTAGATTGGGTTAGGTGCCATGATTATTTGCTTTTTCCAATTTGAATTCCCTCTTTTCTACTGAAAAAAAATTCAAGGGGAACTTTTTACATATGTTCAGTCTTCTACACATGTTTTACCATGCACAGTACCTATTCAGCGTTTTTCTTCTAGCTTAAAACTTTACCGTAACTTTTGAAAGTTCCTTATGGATTCTAGTAACATAATTCAGGGTCACAAACTACTCCTCCATTAGTTACAATTAAAACAATTTTCTTTAATAGCAGGACAGAAATAAGCTGATTAAATAAAAACCAGGTGGCTCCCTCCTGCTGCTGACTTGAAACCCAGAGGGGAAGATAACTCAGTTCTCATTTCTCAAGGATAAAACTGTTTCCCTTTGGTCTCCTCTGTCCCTATTAATCACTCCACACACCTGTCAACAAAAAGTATAGGAACAATCACTAAGTAAAACTAGTGAGAGAGAAGCTGAGATGAGGCTGCATAATTAAATTGACATTTCCATGCATCTCTGACCTGTCAGGGAGTACCGGACCAGTGAACGGGGTCTTATAATCACCTGGCCTAATTTCATTGGACTGTAATTATGTAAGTTCCAGACCTAAGGCTTGATGGGAATGAAATACCAAAATCAAATCAATTTTAAGTACCTTAAAATGTTTTGCATGGGTCATTGTTCAAACCACATTTAAAAAATATTTTTTGTTTTATTCCCAGTGTGAATGTGTCTGTTTGTGTGTGTGTTGATGGACTAGAATGCCTTCAGAAAAAATTTACAAAATAACAAGAATTCTAGAAACCTGAAAGTATTATTTTCAAGTACTTTAAAACCTATCATATACAGTGAAAGTTAATTTAGTAAATAATTTCTCCAGAGGTTAGATTTGGCTTAAAGAGTAGAGGTAACTAGGAGATAGGCCTTGATCCAAGTTTTAATTTTTAAGCTAGAACTTTCTAATGATGAATTAAATGGGCTGCCAAGGTGATAAATTTTCCCTGGAGGTTTTCAAACAGATTGAAAGACCATTTTGAGAATGAAATCACAGAACCTTTTCAGGAGGCTGAATTTACTATACCTACCAACTCTGATTTTTCTACATTTATTTTTAATTGTAATTGTTGGCATAGATGGAAGTATTGTACCCAAGATGTCACCATTATAAATGTCTTGCTTAAAGCAGTAAGAGAAATTTCTTGAGGCAGTGTTTTGTATACAGAAACATTACAAATTCTATAAAGAGAAATGTAACTTGTATTATTGATAGTTAGCATTTCTAGACCTAACTTACCAGTTTTAATGAAAAAGTTAAAATACCATGCACTAAAGGTGGAAGTGTGAAAAGATGTTAAATGCTTAACATTTATTAAGCATCTACTACATGCCAGACTTATAACCCTTTGAGGTGAATTTACTACTCCTGTTCATTTAATGGAGAAAAATAAAGCTCTGGGAAGTTAAAAACAATTTGCCAAAGTCACATATCTGTTACTTTCTAATTCCAAAGCTTGTTCAAGGGCTGTCAAAGAACATAGCTCCTGTATTTAGGCACCAGATTAGGTTGGAAAAGAATTCTAGTTACTGTAATCACAGGGGTGTGATTTAGCCCATTTGAGGACCATGACAACACATTCCCACTAATCACATGGGACTCTTAAGAGATAAAAGTGAAAATAAAAACAGGCTGGTAGTCACTTTGTTATTTTCAACTTGATGAGGGTGATGTTGTACTCCAGGAACTCATTATGAGGAACCTAAAGTTCAGAGTTCAACACCATCGGCACACATCACAAAATATCTGACCGGACAGGCTCTATGGGTGAATGGTAGGGGGCATGTAGGTTGGACCTCAAGTGCTGAAGAAGTCCAAATTGAAAATACATAGGATAGGTCAGGCTCTGCACACCAACTTCTTCAGTCTAACTGATTACTTACTCTGCAAACAGTCAGCATTTAGGAGGTCCTGACACTTTTCATGGCACTTGACTCCACACTCCAAACACTTCATGCCTTGCCGGGCAATGCCCCACAGGAGCCCTTCACACTCGTAACAGTAGGTAGGAGTTGTAGCCGTCCAGACCTCAAAATTGTGTGGGGTGGTTGAGGACATGGGATAGATTAATGCTTGTAAGGTCTTCTTGAAGACATGTATTTTCTGTGAAGATGAGAAAAGGCAAGGCAACTCAGTGCAAAAGAATAACATGAAATAAACCACTTTATTACCTTTCCCAGAAAACGGTATTATGAGACATCCTTGACTCTCTCATCACAATTATAGTGATGACAGTAAGCACAGTGCCTCTGCTCACATGTTCTTCTCTCAGTGTTTTAGGGCTCAGTGACACTATTTGAACATAAAGAACTTATTTTTACATATAGGATTGGGATTCCATTGTTGGGTAAAGTTCTTTCATAGCAGCACAAAGCTCTAAATGACTTGATAACTTCTATATCCCAGCTACACTATAAACTACATGAGGGGAAGGATACGGACATCTTACTCAGACCTATCATCATGCCTCAGAGCCTAACCTTGTCTCTGCTTGGAGATAGGTGCTCAGGAAGCATTAATACCAAAGAAATAAAAAAAATAAAAAAGTAATGCTATCCTTGGTTTAAGTTGAGTTTGGTAAGACTGAAGGAGATGGAAAGTAGTCTCAATGTTGACCCAAACCCTATAGAGACATCTGCACCCCTCTTTTGAATCTGCTTAGGCCTCACTCCCTTCACTGCATGCACACACTGACACTTCAGCCCTCCTCATTGCCAACTATGCATTTTCTGTAATTCTTTCTGCAGACAACTAGTTTCATTGCACATTCTTTAGGAAGAAACTCATTAATTCATAAGTACTAGTACTACTGATAAAGGTTAAATGTAGCAATCTCCTATGGTAATTTATATATTAAAGGGAGATCAACTTTTAAGATGATTATTTTATGCTATAACATTGTTTTACATTGTTGTTCATGTAAAGGAGATCATTTTAACAGTATAAGGAAGGACTTTCTAATAACTAACTATTGGTCAGATGGAAAAATCCACTGACAGAGAAAGCCGGGAGACCCGGGTTCCCTAGCAGTCCCAATCACATACTTAAAATAATGGGCTTCTTCAGGCAGAAGCTAACTTCCATAGTTCTCTACTTAGTAAAGAAACAGCATGTATTACTGGCCCTGGCACATATTTTGTGAAAAAAATCAGTGTTCTGCAATTTAAGAGTCTTGTAATCTATAGAGGTTTCTAAGTCTTATTTTCCTCTCCTCTTCTTCCTGCGGTGTTACCATGAAGATCAAATTGTATGATGTTAACAATTAAATTCCATAGATTTTAAAACACTAAATAAATCCTGAGTATTAATAGTGACAGTGGATATTTAAGAAATCCCTATAAAAAAAGAAATGGGTTCAGTTGAGTCCTCTATGCTTCTTATATCCCACCATGCAGGTAACTTCCTGAAAGACCAGCACTCTGCAGTTACATTTGCAGGTCAATTTCACACAAATGCCTGCTACATAATGAGTAGCTATTTACATAAGTCCTGCAGGAACCTAGCTAATAAGTACTGCTAGATGGGAAACATTTATATTTTACATTAATCATCCACAAATCTCATTTCAGAATATCTTCCCACAGTGTTCAAACAGTCAACTTTCCATTATATTTCAATTCCACAGTATGGCAACAGCCTATTTCCCTTTATTAGTACATTCTCCTCACTATATGATTTCTCAGAATATGTCTGGCAATGGTGCTGGGAGGTTCCCTACCAGGGAGTTAAGTGTCATACTTTTTTCTAATTTTTGAATATCAAGATCCAGCTTCACTATTACATGAGGTTCTGGCCAAAGTTCTTTCTGTTCCAAGTGAGTCTACAGAACAGCATTATGGTTAAATATGGGAATTACTCAAGAGCGAGAGCCTCACATGAAGATTTATAGAGACAGAATGACTGGATCCAACACTTTTCAATAACGACAGCCTGAGCCAAGTCAGTCTCTTGACTTTAATTCATGATAAGGCTATCTTGCAAAGAGCTGTTAAGAGATCTTTTAGAATTAAGAGCATGTATTATTCATCTTTGCTTCCCCTTAACTACTCTACCGAGTGGGTTCTTTCCAACATCATTAAAGTGAATTGAATGATTCCTGGCATAACATTTTCCATCAACGATCCAGAGACAGTTTCCTGTACTAGCTGGCCTGAGAGTAAGGTGGGGTGGTGGTGTATGTGTATAATATAGCATTTTCAGTTTACCTAAGAAAATAGGAAGGAAATTTAATGTTTGTAAGCATACCTGGCAATGTATTGTTTTAGTAAATTAACAGTTCTTACTCAATGAAACACTAGGTGGGAACAGAACACAGTCTGCTACTGAACACAAGAAAAGAGAGACATGAACTTAGAAAACAAGAGTTGGGAAAGGGATTATTTTTGAGCATTAATTTATCTACATTTTTTCCCCAAGGGACAGAAAATACCTTTTATTTTATTTTTTAAAGATTTATTTATTTATTTATTTATACAAGCACTGGGTACAGTCAGAAGCGCGGGAGGGTGAGAGAATTCACCAGAGCCAGAGCAGGGAGCAGAGCAGGCAGAAGGACCGAAGTACACTGCTGAGGGGAGCAGCGGGCGGCAGAGAGGTCTACGTGCCTCCTTGGGTGGCTGGGGAGCAGCCAGGGATTGAACCGGCGCTGCAGAGGCTGCAGGCAGCTTCGCAACCCAGGGCTCAACTGCTGCGCCACCGGGGAGGCCCTATCTACATTTTTTAAAAGATTTATTTATGTATACAACAACTGGGGTACAGGCCAGAGGTGTGGGAGAGTGAGAGGATTCGCCAGAGACAGAGCAGGGAACAGAATAGGTAGATGGACCAAAAACACTGCTGAAGGGAGCCAACAGGCGAGACAGGACAGGAGAGGTCTGCCTCCTCGCCATGTGGTTATCCCCCTGGCAGGCTGGATATCAAACTCACACTGCAGTGTCTCCGGACATCTTCACAGTGCTGCACTCAACCCCTTGCACCACCAGGGAGGCCCAAATTATTTACATATTTTAAGGTTAAGTAAACGATTGATACATCTTATTATTCCCTATGTCCATTTTCTTTTTTACTGAAGGTAAGTGCTATATAGTCATCCCTCTTAGGCTACAGCAGGAGTAATAAGTACAAGGAACATTTGCTAAAAAAGTAAACATGCTGGAGGAAAACAAATTAAAAATAGGTCTGAATAGACAACTGAGAGGTTTTTTTTAAAAAATGTTTTGTTTAGTTTGGTTCAAGAGCCATGATCCACGTCATGAAGAGAGATAGTAAAGCTAATTTCAAAAAATAAGAAAGAAAATTTACTTGCCAAAACATGGAGAATCAATTGAATGGGGCATTAAAAAGACACCAACATTTAAAAGCTGGAGAAAATCACTGGATAATTCACTAGAGGGTATGTCTCCCCAGCATCAGGGAAATATTATGAGCTTTTATTCATTCTTGATTTTCAGAATATAAGCATGTGTTTATCAAATCTGAAAATTACTTTAAAGTAAATGACATGTGAAAACATAAACTTACTCTAGCAAATTATTAGATGAAATGATGGTCAATTTAGAAACTCAGGAAATGAATAGCTAGGGAAAGCTTTTAAAAATACTTATCATGAGAAGGAATTCTTACACCTCAGGGAAATTCTGCATCTTGCAGAAGGAAGATACTTTCTTATCAGCAAAATAAGACTAAACATTATTATAAGAAGGACACAGACTGTGGGATTTTCATGGAATAAGGGAAAAGACAGGGTAAGGAGCACTGAATAAAAGCAATGCCGAAAATGAGAAGCCTGAAAATTAGCCATGGACAATGATTTTGAGTTGATTTAAGGAGAAAAGGGAATTCTTTTTAATACAGCACTTCATGCAGGCAGAGAGATAATTGTGTGGCTAGTAGGATTTAGCAGAAGTGAAAGGATATAATTGGGTATGTGATCAAAAGAGGGTCACTGGCCTAGGTAAACAGGAACCAGATACAGACAAGAGTGCCCCAAGTACAAGGAGAACTCTAATTACTAGTATTACCAATACGGACAGCAATAAAGGTGATTTGCTGCTTATCTATTTTTTTTTTTATTTTCAAATATTTTACAACAAGCATTATTTTATAAAATTTATTTTTGATTAGAATGTATGTATGCTGGGCCTCCCCGGTGGTGCAGCGGTTGAGTGCTGGGTTGCGAAGCTGCCTGCGGCCTCTGCAGCGCCGGTTCGAATCCCGGCTGCTCCCCGGCCACCAGAGGAGGGTCCCACATGGCGCGCAGACCTCTCCTGCCGCCCGCTGCTCCCCTCAGCAGAGAATTTCTTAGTCAGTCTGCCTGCTCTGCTCCCCGCTCTGGCTCTGGTGAATTCTCTCACCCTCCCGCGCTTCTGACTGTACCCAGTGCTTGTATAAATAAATAAATAAATAAATAAATAAATAAATCTTTAAAAAAAAAAAGAATGTATGTATGCTTACTGTAAAAATAATTTATGAAGCCAAAAAAAATCACGAAAGTTAAAAAAAAATGCAATTTTATTTCTTAAAAGTGAGCCATGGTTTAAAGCATGTTCTTCCAGTGTTTTCTCCATTTATAGACAAAAGACTTGTTCAACGAGGAAAAAATTATTTTTACTTCATTGGAGTGATTTCAGAAAAGACAGTTTTTATTGTGTATAGATATTTTTAATCTGTAGAAATGAAGGTACGGCATGCTTTCACTCTGATAAACCTTTGTAGCCAGGTATAACCTATACACTATAAAGGGGAAGATGCTCATATTCTACAAATATTTTGCTAAAAAATCCTGTTCCAAGAAAGTGAAATTTGAAAAAAAATCCTAATACATTTTTCAACAATTAGGACACTAGAAGGAAATTAATTACCTTTTCTATTCATAACTATATGAGCAAACTAAAATGAGTCCAAGAAACAAAGAAGCCTTCCTGCCAAGAGCAATAAACAGCATTTTTACCCCCAACAAAATTGCAATGCAGCAACTGTTAACATAAGAGGAACAAATCTTGTCTGTCTACATTTGCCATCTATCTTTTCCCCTTTTTTTCTATGTTAACCAGTGAATTAAGTGCTGAAGTTTTGTTTTCTTCTTTATCCTTTGGAGTACCCAT